AGACGATGCGAACGCGCCTGAGCATCCAGTTAAAAGGCAAATGCATATCTACTTCACTTGAATTAAGCTGCAAAGACCGTTTGAATGTGAAATAGATTAATTTCTTCCAGCTGCATTGGTTGCATAATTAGACAGGAGACAAGGGCCCAGTTCTCCATTTGGAACACCACTCAAAATGATATAAGTATCGTCGTAAATTGTTATAAACGTTTTGAACATTCAAAGAAATTCTGCACTTAAAGTTTCATGTGTTTTGTGTATCAACCATAATGAAGCACTATGTCTTAGACTAGGTTAGCGTGAACTTTACAGTCTAGCTACAGCTTCCAAGTGATGGAGAAGAAACAACGTTTCAAACAGACCGAGTGCGGTTGCAGTATTCAGCTGACATGCTACCGGAACTGACAGATAACTTGGTGGAAGAAGTTGACTGATTTCAACGTCTGAGCTCCAGCCTCTCCACGACACCATTCAATCAGAGTTGAACAAGAGAGTTGCACTCGAGTTCTTTTGGTAACTCATTCAAACTCTTGGCAGAAAAAGGAGTAAATTACTACAAAATTAACCTGTTCCTTGCTTCGGTTAGGTAATTTTGTCATACATCATGAACACAGGACCAAGAACGACGGTTGAAATTTACACAGCAGCGTTGTTTCCTAAGTAGAGCGAAAATTAAACGACAGGATAATGTAAATGGCTCCCATTTCTTCCGAGCAAATATGGTTCAAGTGATGTGAAGATTAGCAAAATGAGGTTGATCCTGTTGGATAAATTGGTTGAACATAAACCATTCACTAAACCCATGAACTTCTCGCGTGTGAGCCGAAACACGACCGAGGTCGGTCAGGAGACCAGAACGCAACATGGAGGAAAAAGGTATACGTAGACCTGCTTTCAGAGTAAATTATTTCCTTGTAACTGGTGCCTTCTAGCAAAAGTATTGAGAGCTGCAAATATAGCTGGCACAAACCAGAAATGCACGCCTGCTAATGACTCCAAGAGATGATCTCAAAACCATTGGTGAAGCTGATCAGGATATATGCCTTGGCCATAAAAGCATCACACAAATCCTGAAGCAGTCCTCTATTTCAAGAGTGAGATAGTTTTTTCTCATCAGACTAGCATCTACTGGGAAGCTTTCGTGAAGCAGCGTACGGTATCGACAGATTCATTTGAAAGTGACTTTAATACTTGAGGGCTCTCTTAGACTTTGAGTATGAGATTCTGACCAGCGATAGGCAGTCAGGTATGCAACATTATGCATATGTACAGCGAAACTGACGTTGTATGCTGCTGATTGTTTAACTCAAAACAGTGAATGCTTCGACAGTTCCTTTTTAATTCCACTTCTTCATTTTCAAAGCTCACCATTCCCTTCCGTTCTCATCATTCCTTTAGGCTTCGACGCCAAGTGCTAAGTATTATTTCGAGTGGATCTTTAATTTTTCAATTCGTCAGCAGTCGCCATTTGCACATATTCCGCCAAACAACAGCCGTCTGCCCATTCGCAAATCAGATGTTGGTTGGTTGAGGTAAACAAGCCAACGGCATACTTGTACGCTGATGTCACTCCATGCGAGGATCAGCCGTCGTGGCTTAGCCGCACGGAGCATAAATGCCCGACAAAGTACGTCAGTTGTTCCGACGAGGGCAAAGAGGCACATTTGGTGAATTTGTACGACAAGCGAAATGCTCAACGTAACTTGAATGACAAAGGCAACAACAACCTTGTTTGCTAACCACAAATCAAATTTGTTTATATGCATATGTTGCTGAAAGTAGAAATTCGCTGCATAGCGTGAATCAAGGCTGAATTCTAACTTGTTCTGACCATAAAGGAGGGTGGTAAAAGCAAGAAATGTTTTACTGCGATGAAGCACGTGCAAAGAATATTGTTTTCAGCTATGTAGTCAGTCCAAACGATGGCAGATCTCGAAATGATGAACTTAATGGATCGTATTCACCATTAACCCCCATAAAGTATCCTAGGCAATTCCGTTTATGACACGAATGCGCTGAGCAGACAGCTGACGAGAAATAACCACTGAAAGTCATTATCACAATGGCGCCTGAAATTAATATACCATACCTGACCGGTTATGGTAGCGGTAAAGTTCAGCATCGGTCGGTTAACAAGGGCCTGGGTTAACAAAGATTTTTATGCCTTATACGAGAATTCCGAATAAACGGAGGATACTTTGATTACTTTCATATAAGAAAGTATTGTGATTAGCACGTGTATTAATAATTGTTTGAATGCATATTTTTACACCATCTGTTGAGAATGATGATTTTCCCAAGCAAGCAGAATGAAATTTCCTCAAAATACCTATTGGCTTATACCTAAAGATTGGGTATTTTTTCATAACTTGATAGTCACACTGAAATACACCATATGAACAGTATATTTACAAAGCTAAACAACTGTTGTATTGAATGGTAGGTCGTTACCAACGAGGGCCTTCCGGTTTGATATGAATCAGCTGTAAGCAACTACGTTTTTGCCAATCATCAAGCTAGTGACACGGACCGAATATCAGCATTGGTTTCTCATCCGGTCGGCTGCTTCACGTTGCATTTAAATAAACTGTTGTCATACTACATTAATTATATGTTTTGTGGGAAACTTAAAAGAAATTAACTCCGTTTGTGCTGCTTACACGCTCAAGACCCATGAAAATCTAGCGTAACAGCATCGTGCAATGTTGAACTTTCCCATCATCATTCCTCTGAATGAACGATTGATCCAAGGATGGAATATTTTGCTCCAACTACACAAGAACCACATGTTGCAGGCAACCGCATTCATTGCTAAAAAACAGCCAAAA